CCGGCACCCTGCTCGGGGCACGATTTGTGCTTGCTGGTCCTTGGGAGCCCGTAGGCTTACCTTTTGCCACTTGCTTACCCTTACGTCTACGCGCTGCAGTGCTCGCGGCACGGGCTATTGCCCTTTGCCGTGCTTTCACGCGACCTGCAGGCGTCTTTGGCGGTTGCACCGCCCCAGCTGTTGTAGATGACATGCCTTGGTCCAAACGATCCAACCTCTGGTTGACCGTCTGGAGAGTATTGTCGAACCTCTCCAGGTAGCTTCTAATGGCGGGGTCGAGTTGCGAAGCTGTCGGGATATCCCTCGCAGCATTTTGTGAAACTGGAAGTACCCTGGAGGAGGTATCCCCTTGGGTCAAGGGGACTCCTTCAGCGCGCTGATTAGCTTGCTCAGGTTCAGATTGGCGGGCCATTTGTTGTTGTAGGACCAGTAGGTCGAAGATTCTCCTGATGAAGGGTAAACGCTAAATCAGGCCTTCCTTCTAGCGCCAAACTATTGATGCTTGATTCTAACACCAACTAATCGACACGTGCGCAACGTTGATTGGTCAAGAAACACACGTGATTATGGACAGAAAATACGAAATAAATGCAATGAGAGCTTTTAAAGTGGTTCGGATGCTAAGGTAGCAAGTCCTACGTCCACTGATTTGTATTAAGATGGTGGGTCAGGTCGCTAAAGCGGACTGACTTACAAATGATTGGAAAAGTAAATACAAAGTTTGAGAGAGAGAGAGAGAGTTCAATTGTAAAATGGCCGAATCCCCTTAATGAAGGGGTCTTCCTCTTTTTATATCAAGTAGAATGCGTGTAATCATCATTAAATCCTTGGGTTGGTGTGAATGTCAGGACATAATCCAGCTTTACGTCCCATTGTCCATTTCTCAAGCTGATTTCACGCGATTTGGAGCAGGGAAACGGACACGTGGGAGCTCCAAGGCGCTTAGCAGGCCTGACGTGCGCTTATCATTCTGACGGGAGCAGGTCACACTTCATCACGTGACTTTTTATGTCAGCCCTTGTTTTCCCAGGCATAACACATTTGAATAAAAACTATCTCTATCTCCCCCAACATGAAATTTCTAGCACGGATTTTGTCCATTGACAACCTTCCTCATTTCAAGCCCGCAGACAATAGAATTAAGTATGCATAAATTACAAATGTGCTAATTATGGATTTTGTCCTTATTTATTCAAATATTCTCCGTCCAGATGTAGACGACTGCAATATTTAATAATTTATACACAATAGTCTCAAAACATATAAAATCAATATATCACCATAACAATTTAAACAGAATATTCTCAAAATAGTATATAAAGTCCCTTCGTACCTGGGAAATTTTATTCCCATATTTAATAATAAAACTATCTATATATAGGAAAATGATGCTATACGAAACATAAACAAACCAAATATTCCTTCTATTCATAAAAGATTGATTCAGAGATTATCCACCACACACATCACAGATAATTCAAAATATTTTCCAGTTGTTAATTAGTCTAGAACATTCTAAAACGTCCAAATTTGCCTTCACATAAACTAACTTGTAAATGATTATCAAAAATGCATAAGCTAAATAAAAAATTTATGAGAACTACAAAAGTAATAGATAAATGTAATTTATGGTAAACCTTGAAAAAATGCTGTCATCTTAGATCATTTTAATTAAAAAATATATATATACATAGAAATGAATTCTTTCCAGTTAGGCTATAATTTAACTCAATAGATATATCGTTGGCCTCACTATGCTATAGGCCTCTTCAAGCATGAAAGAAACAAAAAAATAAAGTCTATGTTATACCTCCAACTTAGCCCAGCAGCTCCCACCTCAAACTTAGCTATCCACACCGACAAATTTCTTGCTTCCGCCCGATTACTTACCATCAATTATTCTTGTTGGAATCAAGAATTTATCTGCAATTATGTTTGGACTTCTTTATATCAACAGCATAAGATGTCATAAAGTAGGAAGAAACAAACAAGAATTTGCCAGTTCACGAAACTCAACTAAAATTAAATGATTCAGTCAAATTACAATCTACATTTAGTCACTGTGGGCTACTGGAAAATTTTATCAGAAAATAAACATTCTCGTTCACATACAAACGTCAACAAAACAATCAAAATGCAAAAGCGACAATTTATTTTTCATTGTAATTAAACTTAAATCTATATCTCAATCCTTAACAGTTTTCAAATAAAAAGGCTACAATTGGTCAGAGAATTTTACCTCAATCCTTAGTCTCCAATCCTGTACGTGGTCTTTGCTTTCTTTCTAGCTACAAGTCCTTGAAAATGTTGGGAAAAGAATATCAAAATTGCATTATATAACCAAAATTAACCACTAGTATTATCAATTAAACACAAAAAATATCAAAACACCAAAATAATAACCCTAGGGTTTGATTTTAACAAATTTACCTCTCAAAGGTTAGGGTTTAATTTATATGGTCAACCCTGAGAGGTTTGACCAGTATTCTTTTATTTTTTTATTATTATTATTATTTTAATCCTTAACAATGAAAAAACATCAATGACTGTTAAGAGTCTGAAAGTGCCAAACCTTGTTCATAGTCGTTTAAATCTGTCAAGGGAATTCCGTCAAGGAAAGAGGTTTTTCTAACCTAAAAGTATAAAGCTTAGTGGCAGGTGAGTGTTCAACATTATTACTTCAATATCTAAGAACTTTTGGGAAAACGACATTTTCCCACCTAAGGTTTGGCAAACCGACACTTTCCCACCTATCAAGTTTCAAAATGACACTTTCCCACCTTTCATCACGTTTTATTAGTGTTTTCTGTTAACATTTGATTGAAAAGACGAAATTACCTCTAAATAGTTTATTTCTTAATTAGTTTATTATAAATACAAATTTTATTAAGTCAAAATCTTTACTTGATTATTTATTAGTTCAAGTGTAAAGATGTATTTTTTCTTTTATTTATTTAATTAATTAGGAATATTGATTTTCTATGTTAATTAGTAAAAATGAAAAACATAATAAATTTAGCAGTTATTGAATAATAGTGATGGAATATTGATAACATTATAAATAAATAAATAACTAAATAAATATTAAAGTCATTTAACTTTAAACAATTTCATAGCATTACTCTGCTAACTATTTTTTCTTTTTTGACTTTTTAATATTTGACTTTTTAACTAATTAAAAAATAATAAAAATTTATATAGTCAAATATTTAAGGGTATTTTCATCTTTTTAGTAAAATATTAACAGAAAATATAACAGAATCTAACGAAGGGTGGGAAAGTGTCATTTTGAAACTTGACGGGTGGGAAAGTGTAGTTTTGCCAAACCTTGGGTGGGAAAATGTCGTTCTCCCATAACTTTTCCAGGATGTTTCGAAGAATACTACCTATTAGAAGGTTTTGGTGTGCCCTAACAACTTACTCAGACACTCATTTACGAAAAATGATACTCTTTTCCCCTAATTTTAATGAACATTACTCATTTATAGAAAAAAAAAAAAAAAACAAAAAACAAAAATTTCTCCCCAAAATTTTTGTGGACCTGATTCATTTAACCTGTTTATGATATGTTTAGACCATTGAATGAATAACTGTGTCATAGATGATTAATAATTATGTCATAAACGAGTTTTAATTAATAGTGCACAAAGCAGGCTCGCGGGTTGAGATCCTTGAAGACAATGAGATAAAGAAAACGGGTGTGTCAAAACATGTGTCACCCCTAGTACCTCATTAACCATACCAGAAAATATTTTTTATGTTATGGATGAATTTTTTTTCCCTCTTATTCATCTTTGCGATTAATATGATTAGTAGTTATTAAACGTAATACTTCCGTAGACTTTGTTGGTTTGATGATGTTTGATGATTCCATGCCGCATGATTTAGGTTATGTTCTTATTTTAAAGCCTACCGCATAATTAAATTTTTCCAACTCTTACTTTCCTATGTAAGGTATTATATTTTTAAAAGCTCACAAATCTCGGTCATCATACAAGGGGCACCACAAATTTATGGACCTTCCATTAATTCTTTATACAATATGTGATAACTAGGGTGAGTCGAGGGAGGGCAAGTTAAATATTTTGGGATAGTAACTTAAATTTTTAACTTAATTTGAAATAAATATTAATTTTCATTCATAAATTATAATCTAATAGTTGAAAAGTTGATAAAATGGCACAGGAAATAACTACTTATAATTTTTTATTGAACACCGTTAGATTGAAGCAGATCAAAAGTTGAAATTTGTGTCATCATAGAGTTGATATAATCTAACCAATAGAAAGAGATGAACACTTTCTGTTTAGAAAAGGGAGTAATACTCATGATCACAAATACATCATTTATCATTTATTTGTAAATTTCCTACTTTCGTTACAATGATATTGTGTATATAACTCCTTAAACTACACGAGAAATCTTAGATAAGATTTTACTGACCTTTAATGAGACATACATGAAATTTATTCTACAATTTGTTTTCCCCTCAGAAAAAAGACCAGAATGGTATTTAAATGCGTGTCTACTTTATAATTAACTAGGCAGTGGCTAATTCAAACTAAAATTATAGTTTAATTACTAACTAAAAATCTGAAAGGTGTATATGTTCAGCGTTAACAATTAATTAGTCTTTTATTGATCAAACATTAGTTTGACTCTATTAATAGAATAGCATCAGCAATATTCCAAGGCCTTCCTTAGATCTCTCCTACATACAGCTCACACAAAATCTCTTATTCTCTTTGGTTGGCACACAAGAAAAATAAGCTTAGTGAGTTCTTCTGTTAAGGGATTCCTCACCCATTTCTATTCTTAGCATTTTCATGCTCATCTTGGGATCAAACTCTCTCTCAATCCTCCGCCCTTTTTGCAATAAAAAAAAAAACCAAAAAAAAATTCAATTGGCTTTACAAACCCTAAATCAGTCCCATTGAAACTCTATTGTATTGGGATTACTACTTGTTATTGATACCAATTTTCCCGTTTCATGAATTCCAATGAGTGCGCACGTAGCAAGGCCTGCGCACATTCTAGCGTCAAGGTATATTGTTGTTCTTGTTTTGATTATACCATTCGGGGGCACGTCATTTGGTGAATCAGATATTGATATCCTCTTAAAATTCAAGGATTCTCTTCAAGATAAAGTCGCTCTCGAGAATTGGAGTCCTAATATAAATCCTTGTTCTTGGAATTATGCAAATTGGAATGGTGTTCTTTGTTCGAATGCGAGCATATGGGGGTTGAAACTTGAGCATATGGGGCTAAAAGGATTGATAGACGTTGATTCTCTTGGTTCAATGAACTCTTTACGTATGATGAGTGTTATGAACAATAGATTTGAGGGTCCACTTCCTGATATTAAAAAAATGGGCTCGTTGAAATCTTTGTATTTATCGAATAATGGTTTTTCTGGGTCGATTCCGGATGATGCATTTGAGGGTATGTCAATGTTAAAGAAATTATATTTGGCAAACAATAAACTTTCAGGTAACATTCCTTCGTCGCTTGCCGGCTTGCCTAAACTTATGGACTTAAGGCTTGAAGCCAATCAATTTGAGGGAAAGATTCCTGATTTTAAGCAGAATAGTTTAAATATGATCGATTTGTCCAACAATGAATTGGAAGGTGAAATCCCTGCAAGCCTAAGCAAAATGGATCCGGCATCATTTACAGGTGAATTTACTTAGCTCAACATTAAGCGTTTGATTTGTGAAAATGAATTTTCGAAAATACTTCAATTCATTTCAGCCAAATGCATTTTCGTAAAATGTGTTCTATCTCTCTTTTTTTGTTTTTTAAACAAAAAATATATTTAAATTCTATATCAGATAGACCGAATTCCTTGTTAATGTTGACCTTTTATTTTCCTCAAAATTATATTTCTGGACTCTAATTGACATTAATTGGGACAATGCAGGCAACAGAAATTTATGCGGGCAGCCTCTAGATGCGTGCCAGCAACCCTCCACGTCCCCAAAGAACGAAAGCCAGCCACAGCCGCCACTGCCGCCACCTGCGGCTGAGAACCGGCAGGCAGAGGTGAGCCAGGAGAATGTATATGTTCTAAAAATTGTGATAATTGTGATAGTTGTGGCGATAGTATTAGCGCTTATTGCTGCAGCTGTAATCATATTCTTTCGCAAAAACCAAAAATCACAAATGGATCGAGTTTCATCATTGGAAGTTTCAAGCAAAATGGGCGGCGCAAGTTCTTTAGGAAACGAAGGGCTGGTACACAATTCCCTTCCTGAGGTAGTAGAGGTCCCAAGGAAATCTGATTATGGGAGGCTTTCATTTGTAAGAGACGATCAACAGAAGTTTGATCTACAAGATATGCTTAGATCCTCTGCAGAAGTTTTGGGAAGTGGGACTTTTGGTGCTTCATACAAGACCGGTTTATGTGGACGGATGTATGTTGTGAAGAGATATAAGCAAATGAACAAGATTGGAAGAGATGATTTTCATGAGCACATGAGACGGATTGGGAGGTTGAGTCATCCAAATTTGTTGCCTCTTACGGCTTACTACTATAGGAAAGAGGAAAAGCTCTTGGTTTATGAGTTTGTGGAGAATGGTAGCTTGGCCAATAAACTTCATGGTAATTAATCAAATTTCTTACTTTTTATCTTTTAGAAATCGAACCAATCCAAATGTTTTAATTAATTCCATTCTTGTCAATTGGTATCCAGAAAAGTTTGAAACTCAAAAATTACAATAGTTTCTCTAAGCATCATGTTATATGATAAGTTATGTCAAAAATACTTATATGAGACAGTCTTACCACCTTACTTTGTTAATGTAGAGAGAGTATTGTCTAATGACATAATGATACGTGTTGTTACATATTTATCAAATTTTATTTTTCATCCATCTATAACCATGATTTATAAAACCCATTATCATTCATCAATAACAACCATCATGAGAGGTAGTTTTGAAAATTAACCATACATATCTTTATTTTATTGAATGATCTCACCATGTCAATAAAGCAAGATGGTGAATGTCCCACATAAGCTTTCCTCCATCCATTGTGACCACCTACTTTAATGTTTTTGTTTCTCTTTTCTTAGCTTTGGGTAATAGGATTCATAGACACTAGTTGCATATTTATGTAACGTGTCTTAATTAGCATAGTATAACTATTTCCCTATTTTCATGATATCTCTTTTGATTTAACAATGGAAGGGGAGATCCTAGAAAATTTTAATTATGTTATGAGAGATCTTTTATTTTTTACTTGTTCAACTTAAACAACTTGAAAACACAGAGATATAGATGATTACATATATGATTGCAACGCTTAAACTGAGCTTGTTGGTTAACTTCATTTTGTGCAGCCAAACAGAAAACAGACGAACGAGGACTCGATTGGCCCAGCCGCTTAAAAATCATAAAAGGCGTGGTGAAGGGATTGTCTTACCTTCACAGTGAACTCCATAATCCAGTTCTCCCTTATGGTCATCTCAAATCATCCAATGTGCTTCTAGGCAAATCCTTTAAGCCTCTTTTGACAGATTATACTTTGAGACCCGTGATCAACCCCGACAGCGCTCATAAATACATGCTCGCCTACAAGTCACCAGAGTATACAAGATCCGGCCGCATTTCTAAAAGATCCGATGTATGGAGCCTTGGAATATTAATCCTTGAGGTACTTACAGGCAAGTTCCCTGAAAACTATCTTCTTCCTCAATATGATAGTGATACAAGTTTATCAACTTGGGTCAATCAAATGGTAAAGGAGAAACTTTTGAGCGAAGTTTTCGATACAGAGATGGGAGAAGTGAAGCATAGCAAGAGTGAAATGATAAATCTTTTGAAGATTGGTTTGAGTTGTTGTGATGAGGATGCTGAGACAAGGATGAGTTTGAAGGAGGCTGCTGAGAAGATTGAGGAGATAAAAGAGGTAAACTCTAAAGATCAAGAAGCGAATTCGTTTACCAGCAATGTGAGGCCTGAGGAAGAATCATCTTTCTTAATGCATGGCTAATTGGGAAGAATGAACATCAAAAGAATGTACAAATATTTTGAGATTTATGAACATATTGATTGCAGCTTCACATTATGAAATTGAAAAAAGATAAAGATGGTTAATTCAGTGCTATCCCGGACGAAACATGAAGTTGGAATTGAAGGGAAAGGGTGTGTTTGTGGTTGGCCTATGGATTGACTTGTGTAAAGTTGTTGAAGTTAGTTGATAGGGCTTCACATATTTTTAGAGGGAAGAACAGAAATGCATGTTCATGGCTTTTATATGGCTTCCTTTTTTTTTTTTTTTTTAATCTTTTTAATTTGTTGGGTAAGTTATGCCTTCTATATTCAATTTTTATACTCAACCTGCAAATAATTTTTATCCATCGGTGATCAGCCTTAATAGGCAAACAAAATTGAATTATGTAAATCAATAACTAAGCAATGTTTTTACAGGTTAACTCAAATGCTATAACAAACTTCACGAGAAGTATTATTATCAGTGTTTGGTTCTCATAAAATGTGAGAAATTATGCATTCTAATAGTGTTTGTTAATTTGTATAAACAATTCAAAGGGAAGTTCCATTAATTTATTGATTAACTAAATCCACTTTTCTACCTATGAATATGATGCTTTGATGGAAGAGTAGACATGTAAAATGGCCGTGTTGTACCGGCCAGTCCATTTTTCTAGGCCCAAGTTACTGATTGTGCTAGGCCGGCGTAACACGAATAGTAAATTATGTCGGCCTGGCCCAAGCATAAAATTAAAATCAAGGCCCAACATCAGTCAATAGGTACGGCACTAATGGGTTAGCATAAAATTTGGTACAAATGGGCCTTATGGTTCGGCACAAATGAGTTGGCAATATCATGGCCTGATTTATCGTTGAACAAATTTGTGCCTTAAAAGTATTATATTAGGTATAATTACTTTAAACCCCTCAATGTTTCCTCCAACGGCTTTTAGATCATATAATATTTTATTATAGAAGGATGATATATTAACGAAAAAATAGATTATCTTGAAGATTACTATGAATGTTTAATAAATTTTTTCAATAAATTGGTGAGTAATATGTTTGGTTAAGAGGATAAATGAGTAGGTATGTTATATTGATTACTAAATTGCACTCATTTTTAAATATTAATATAATATTATTTAATAATATTATTTTTGAATCTTTAACCCCCTATATTTAAAATTTTACTAAAACACCCTAGCTATATAAAACTTTAATTTATAGCAAAATCACCCCCACCCACCCCAAGCCATTGCCAATAGCCAACCACCACTGCCAGCCGTCCCCAATAGTTGATGGAATGGTTCATGAATGGTCCTATATGGTCGACCGTGTGCCGACAAAGCCATTTCCAATAATGGATCACAAATCCATGGTCATTTCATGGCCAGACCTATGGCCTTTTCATGGCCAAAGATATGGCTGTGAAAAGGTCAAATTTTTGGCCATTACACGGTCAAATTTGTGGTCATTTCACAACCACATCTTTGGCCGTGAAATAGCCATACAAAACGGCTAGATCTAGCCGTTTCTGACCATGGATCACATATCCATGGCCAAAAAAGGCCTTATCAGCGCACGACTAGCCAGATCACAAGATCGTGTGCCATTATGGCGACTGACATCTGGGATCGACAGGGGTGAGTAACGGCCGGCGGTGGTCTTTGGCGATTGAGGGTATTTTGTTAATTTTTAAACTTTTTTGTGGCTAGAGTGTTTTAACTAGTTTCTCAAATGTAAAGGGGTTGTGTAATTGTTATTTGGTAGATATTTAAAGGCAATTGTATCTGAAATAGTATTTAAGTAAGGGCAAAATAGGTATAAAAATCATATTACCTGGTAATGTTTTAATCCTAGGGGTGGGAGAGGGTATCGGATTATCCCCCTACTTTACCAACAACAAACACTATTTACAATAAAAGATTCTCATAATATTTTATTACTTATAAATCAAACATTAAAATTTTATAAAATAAATAAAGATTACTCTCATTATCTTATATGCTCATTGCTCCCGATCCAATGGCACCCTCTCCCGTATCATTATTAGCTAGGAGTCAGGACCCTGCCGTCAATGTTTTCACGTTAGTTTTAACATGAGAGATGGTAAAAGAGTAAATTATCCTAAATACTTTTTATTAAAATATTATAAATTAATAAAAAAAATCAACCCCAGCCATCACCCACTACTTTTCCTTCCCAACCCCAACCTCCCTAAATCAACGCCATAGCCAAACCCCACCTCTTACCAGCGCTGTTCCTGCCTCGAGAAAGGTTGCAGCTCTAGACTTAAGTCAAAAGTAAGACATTTAAAATTAGTTTTCACGTCACCGCAAAGAACAATTTTCCAAACAAAAACCTCAAAAGTTGTCCCTTCAATAACCAAACACCCAGAAAAGTTTACCCCATTCAACACCTGAAAACACACAAAAAAATCCCACCATCAAATCGAACTAATAGCAGTTTAGTGTGGACTTTGGTGGTTACGCATTTTGGTTTGTTTATAATGGTTGTTTTGGTGATGATTGAGATTGATTGGATTTTTAAGATTGTTTTTGTTTGGGTTTGTTTTTTTATTTGGGTTTCTTAACCCAATTTCAATTTGATAGTTTTTTATTTTTTATTTTTTATTTTTTATTTTTTTTTTTGAATAAAAGACCAATATATTTGAGGTTGTAGTGGATGGGGGGTGATGCCGTGATGGTAGTGCTTGAATTGGTGACTTTGTTTGAATATAATAGAGATAAGGGGGCTGTTTGGTGGTCTGGATAGGGGGACAAGGAGGCTGTTTGGTGGTGTGGGTTAGGTTTGTTCGGTTTGGGGAGGATGAGGGTAATAAGGACATTTAACCTATACCTGTTAAAATTAACGAAGGCTTTGTTTGGTTCACTTTTTTACACTTTTTAGAAAAGTTTTTGAAAAAAAGTTAAAAAAAGTTGAATTGGACAGGTATTACGATGTAAGATTTGAAAATCAATAAAAATACCCTCTATATTTGTTTATTTACTAAACACCCCCTAGTTTGTTTATTTACTAAAAACCCCTATAATAAAACATTAAAAGTTAACAAAAACACCCCCAATCCACCCATTAAATATGGACAGCCGGCCACCACCGCCGAAGGGTGGCCGGAGTCGTCGTATCAGCGTATGACCGACTGGATCTTGCCGATATGGCCTTTTCTGGCCAGATCTATGATGGATCTGCCCGACAAAGGCCAGATCTATGACTAGATCTGGCCGTATTTGCTCGTCAACGACGGCCAAAGATACGGCCGTTATTAATGGTCAACAACGACCATGTGTTGGCCGTCGTTGACGACTAATAACGGCCAGATCTTTGGTCTTAGATCTGACCTTTTCCGACCAGATCCATCTTGGATCTGGCCGGAAAAGACTAGATCGGTGCACTACCAGGCAGATTCAGCCGGTAGTGTGCCATTATACCAGATTCTAGCCATTTTTTGGCGGCGGTGGCCGGAATCTGGTAAATATGGTTGCTAGAGTTTTTTTTGTAATTTCTAAAAAAATATTTAGGGGTATTTAATTAAATTGACAATTTTAGAGGGTTTAAAAAAAGTTGAATAATATTGTGAGTTTTTGCAATTTTACTGTTTAACTTTATTGGGAATACTAATAGTAGTATTCTCAAATGTGAGCCAAACGAAGCATTATTAATGGCACAAGTTCCTAAGTTAATACTGATACCAATAGAGGTTTGAAATATTATTAACCGCATAGGTCCTAAGTTAATACTGATACCAAGTTAATATTGACACAGTGTTTGGATCGTATAATATTTTATTATAGAGGGATATTATATTAATGGAAAGATAACTCATTTTGAAGATTACTAGGAATGTTTAAGAAATGTATTTGGTTTATTTGAATAAATTAGTGAGTAATATGTTTGGTTAGGAAGATAAATGAGCGAGTATATTATATAGATTACTAATTGTCCTCTTTTTTAAATATTAATATAATATTATTTTTATGATCGTTTTTTTAACCCCCTATATTTGAAATTTTGTTAAAACACCCCAGCCATATAAAACGTTCATTTGTAGCAAAATCACCCCCATCCACCCCAAGCCACTGTTGTCAGTTAGCCACCACTGCCAACCACCGCCAACAGTTGACGGAATGGCACACAACTAACAGTATATGGCCGGCCGTGCGTCGTTGTAATTTTTTTAAATCTGATTATAAGTATTAAGTATTTGTTTTTACAAATTTTAAATATCTAAAAACTAGTATTTTTACATGAATAATACTTTGCGTACTAACGGATTTTACTAACCAGTGTACTAACCTTTGTTAAAATCCCACATAGTATCCGTACTATGCGTATGGTACCCGTACTATGCTTTAGTTAGTACACAGATTAGTACCCATCCGTTAGTACCCATAGCATCACTCGATGGGTAATGCTATGGGTACTAATGGATTGTACGAACGTATACTAACTTAAAGCATAGTACGGGTACCATGCGCATAGTACGAGTACTATGTGTGATTTTAACAAAGGTTAGTACATTGGTTAGTAAAATCCGTTAGTACGCACAGTATTATTCTTAATAATATTTTTCATGAAACATTTCAATGACTACAATAATTTAGATTTAAGGTTTATGCAAAAATTAAAGGTTTAAGATTAAAATACAAATAAAAAAAAATTAATCGTGGATGCACTTGGAACTTAAAATTTCATTTCAAGCTCCTATTGTCCAATTGCTTTCTCCATGGTTTTAATAACAATTTTTCATGAAACAAAGGGTTTCAATTATTACGATAATTTGGATTTAGGGTTTATACAAAAAGTTAAAGGTTTATGATTACAATAAAAATATAAAATTAAATGTGGGTGTACTTGGAACTTAAAATGTCCTTTCTTGTAATTGTCTTTAAGGCTAAACTTGTCATTATAAAAATATTTTAAATTTTTTTGAACTCGGCCAAGAAATCCTATCATCTTGCGGCTTGCTTTAGACTTAGC